TCTCTCTTTGCAGGTCCCCTCGTTATCTCTGTGTATGATCAGCTGTCACAGGCTGGGCTTTGTGGGCCAGGAGTGCTTTTCTGGGCGTGGAGGGGACATGATACATGGTTAAAGTCTGTGACAGTCGCTGAATGTGGAGGGAAAGAGGAAGGGGCGCCTAAAAGGAGGGAGGAAGAGAGAGGGAGGTCAGAACAGAGAGGAGACAGGGCTGGAGAAAAGGGGGGAAGGGAATAGATGGGGAGGGACTGAATTTGCTTACTCATCATGGGTTAGGAGGCTGAGGCCCAGGATGGGTCAATCAGAGCACCAAGCCTTGGCTCTGACATTGACCCAGGCACTATCCTTTGTATCTTTCCTGGGAACGAGTCATGTGACACCCATGTCATCCTAGGGAAAGTGGTCAGTGGCTTTATAGGGTCAGGTACCCTGGATCATAGCCACTCTCTGCCACTCTGATATTTTCAGGGTGAACAGAGTATAAAGAAGCCCCCACCCACCCACCACACACACATGCACACACACATACACATACATACATACACAAACACACACATACACAAACACACACATACACAAACACACACATACACACAAATACAAAAATACAAATACACACAAACATACACACAAATACACACACATATACACACACATACACAAACACACAAAACCACATACACACACACACACACACACACACACACACACACACACACAATGGCAACCACGCTGTGCTGGGCTCTCCATGTGTAGCTGAGGTCGACTTTGGCCTTAGGTCCCAAGGCAGTGGATTGCATCTCTGTGGCAGGGCTGTCTCTGTGGGAGGAAGCAAGGCACCTACCTGGTCCAGGACACAAGCTGGCCTGGACCGGTCCGGGGTTTGATGTAAGGACCAGAGGACCTCGGAATGGAGCGGATGCAGGACTCGGCAGATCTAGGTTCAATGGGTCGCCTTGAAGGACCATGAGACTGTGTAACGGAGTGGATGGGAACGGAGAACACATAAGACAGCTAAGGAGAAGTTGGGGGCCGTTAGCACCAACAAGAGACAGCTGACGTGTGCGGCTGTCGCCAGAAACAAGATTTTGAGAAAGTCAGTCATGAAGGTTTGTGCCTGCAATCCTAGCACTCACGAAAAATAAATAACTAAATGTAATTTAAAATGAAAACGAAAAACAAGGCTTGGGGATGTGGCTCAGTGGTTAGAGCGCTTGCCTAGCATGCAGGAAGCCCTGGGTTCCACCCCCAATGCCCATAAAATTGTGTGATGGCACACCCCTGTGATTTCAGCACTCAAGAGGTAGAGAGGCAGGAGGATCAGAAGTTCAAGGTCATCCTCAGCTACATAAGGAGTTTGAGGACAGCCTGGGCTACATGAGGCCCTTCCTGTCTCAAATAAAAAAAATAAATCCCATTCTTGTCCTTTGTCCTACTGTGTGTCCAGGAGCTTGGCTTCTGATTAGGCGTAGCCCAGGGCAGGACAGCAGAAGGTGCTTGCGTCCTCAGGCTCTTTTTGGGGGGTTTGTTTCCCCATCTTTCAGGATAGGTCCTGGCCCTTTCCAGGACTACTGTGTGCACCCATCATTCTTGGGGCTCAGGGGTTCCTGCTAGCCCTAGGCCACCCACACCCCTCCTCTCTGTAAACACTCTCAATTGCTCTTCCGGACAAATGACCGTCTGTTTCCTGCCATGGGTGGCTCATTGGGGGCGTGGCTCATTGGGGTGTGGCTCATTGGGTCGTGGCTTAAGATCTACCAAGCAGAAGGCTTTAAGGATCACTTCATTCAACCTTGGCCTTTCTTTCCCTCTCTTTTTTGTTTGTTTGTTTGTTTTTAAGATGGGGGTCTCACGTAGCCCAGGCTAGCCTCAAATCACAGGCGTGCACCTGCACCGTTACATCAGGATTACGCAGTGCTGGCAATGGAACCCAGGACCGCATGTATGACAGACAAGCACTCTGCCAACTGAGGCCCATGCTTGACGCCCCCTCCCCTTGCCCTTTAGAGACAGGATCTCCTGTTACCCCAGCTGGTCTTGAACTTCTGACTCTCCCATGGCTACCTCCCATTCCTGGGATGAGGTGTGTGTTGCCATAACCAGTTTCTACTTCAGCTTTTGACCTGGGCGGAGGGGCGAGGTCTAGACTGAGTAAGAGGCTATCCAGGATCACCCAGAGTGAAAAGACTATGGAGGGGCTGAGGGTGCTGACCAGTCTGGGCTACAGAGAGAGACCCTGTGTGGTGGTGCATGTCTTTGATCCCAGCATTTGGGAGGCAGAAGCAAGTTATAGGCCAGCCAGGGGTAACAGTGAGAGCCTGTCTAAAAAAAGAGAACGGAGGGAGGGAGGGAGGGAGGGAGGGGAAATGAGAAGGGCAGAGAGATGGCTCGGTGGTGAAGAATGCTTGTTGCTCTCGCAGAGGATCCAGGCTACGTTCCCAGTGCCCACACGGTGCTCACAGCCATCCTTAGCTCCCGTCCTAGGGGCTCTCATGCATCAGACATACACGTACATCCATGCGGGCAAAACGTGCATACACATGAAATAAATAAATAAAAGGCTGGGTGGGCATGATAAGGCATGACTGCGATCCTGCATCTTGGGAGATGGACACGGGAGGATTAGTTCAAGGTTATCTTTAGCTACATAGTGACTTGGAGACAAGCCTGGGCTACATGAGATTCTGTCTCATAAATAAATAAATAAATAAATAAATAAATAAATAAATAAATAAATAAATAAATAAATAAATAAATAAATAAATAAATAAATGAAAGGCTCTAGAGAGGCCCAGGGTGGAGCCCTGTTTATTCTCTAAGCCTTCCTGTTTCTCCCAGCTAAATTACTACTCAGTCACTTGAGAGCTTCCTCCATAGAGGAGCCTTATCTATCTGTTCAGGATCAGGAACTACTTAGGGCCATTAGCAGGCACCGGGGAACCCAGCCAGCCGTACCTCGCCTGACTTCCTGCCTCCCGGGGCGAGACCCTACGTGTGGCACCAGCGATCACCGCCCCGCCTCGGGTCATGCTGTCCCTAAACTGCTCGGCAGAAACCTGCTGTCGCTGTTGTCTGGGCACCCCGCCCTTGTCCACCTGGCACAGGTGTCCTGCCCGGTCACCCAGGCCACAGCGCTCCAGGAAGCCTCCGCTGTGGGTCTTTCCAACAGCTGAGGGCAACGCCCCCTGCATCCCCGCCCTTGGCAACCAGGGAAATCGTGGGGGGCAGAGCCTTACCGGGCATCTGCGGTGTGGAGCAGGGTTGATGATGATACGTCCTGTGTGGCCTGGATTAGGTTGCAGGCTGGGGTGGGTCTGTTTTGCTTCGAGCAGAGCTGATACTAGTTTTGGAAACCACAACTTCATACGGGTATCCTGCCCCCAGCCCCCAGCCCCGTCTGGGCTTCTCCATCTGGAAGTGTGGGTTGTACCAAGTACAGTTCCAAGCTAAACCCTAACTTTTCTTTTTCTAGATTTTTGTTAGTTAAAAACAAAGAAACGACAAACAAACCAGGGTCTCTCTCTATGTAGCCCTGCCCATCTTAGAACTCACTAGGTAGACTGGGCTGGCCTTGAACTCACACAGATCCACCTGCCTCTGCCTCCCAGCTTTCCAAGGGCTGGGATTAGAGGTGTGCACCCCCACACCTTTTGAGTCCCTCAGTGGGACCAGGAGCTGGCTGATCGCTCTAGACTGCCCGGAGATCCACCCACATCAGCCTTCGGAGCTCCGTGATTACCATTGTGTGCTACCTTGCCTCTTCTGTAAGTTCTGGGGACCACCTCCGGTGCTCATGCTTGCCTGGCAGGCACTTTACCGACTGAACCACCTGCCCAGCTTCACTCCTGGCCTTTGATAGGATGCTGGCCAAGCAGGATAGTGGTGAAGGCTTCTTCTGGGTCCATGGTCTCTACTATCTACAGGCTTCTTGTTTACAGGTTCAGTTTTCCTGTGGGCCAGGGAGACCACTGTTTGATGGTAGGGGACATGGGTAACTCGGCAGGCCTCAATCCTGAGTCTTCCTTTCTTTTTATTCTATTCTATTTGTTTGTTTGTTTATTTATTTATTTATTTATTCTTTTGTTTCTTTCTTTCTTTCTTTCTTTTTTTTTTTCGAGACAGGGTTTCTCTGTGTAGCTTTGCGCCTTTCCTGGGACTCACTTGGTAGCCCAGGCTGGCCTCGAACTCACAGAGATCCGCCTGCCTCTGCCTCCCGAGTGCTGGGATTAAAGGCATGCGCCACCACCGCCCGGCTTATGGTTTTTTTTTTTTTTTTTTCAAGACAGGGTTTCTCTGTGTAGCCCTGGCTGTCCTGGAACTCAATTTGTAGACCAGGCTGGCTTTGAATTCTCAGAGATCTGCCTGATGGGGGATTAGGCCAGGCACCAAAACTACACAGAGAAACTCTGTCTCAAAAAAAACAAAAACAAAAACAAAAACCAAACAACAAACAAAACAAAACAAAAAACCCAGGTGCAACAGCCTGTGTTTGTGAGCCCAGGGCTGGAGAGACAGGGACCTCTGGGACTCAGTGGCCAGGCAGCTGAAAGGGACTGGTGAACTCCAGGTTCACTGACAGACCCAGTCTCAAAAAAAAAAAAAAAAAAAAAAAAAACAAGGCGGGGCTGGAGAGATGGCTCAGCAGTCAAAAGCACTGGCTGTTCTCACAGAGGACTCAAGTTAAGTTCCCAGCAACCACACAGTGGCTAACAATTATAAGTGGAACTCCAGTTCCAAGGAATCTTCTTCTGGCTTCCTGGGGCACCAGGCACACATGTGGTGTATACAAATGCATGCAGGCCAAACAGTCATACATATAAAACCCAAATTAAAAAAAAAGCAAGGTGGAGAGAGAGAGAGAGAGATGGGTTTCTACACGCACACACATACATGAGCACGTGTGTGCACACATACAGAGAGAGAATGGCAGGGAGGTGAGCCCAGGTATATGTGAGATAAATACAAAGATAGTAGGGAAATTTATTTCTGATAAGCTTTGGGCTAAAAGCATTTCCCCCTAGAGTTCCAGAAACTTCCAGGCAGGCCCCAGCTCAGGCTCAGCCGCTTGGCCCCTGGAGAAAGCCCTGGGAACTTCTCAGGAACTCCGCTCGGCTCGAAGGCTGTCCGTGTGGTGGGTGTGATATCGTCTCATGCGAACTTGCTGCGCTGGGCTGGACACAGGGATTCTCCAGCAGCTTTGGAAATTTGGGTGGGAGAAAACGGGAGAGAAGGATTGATGAAGGGTCTTAACTCTGCTTCACTTTTGTGTGGATTCCAGGGGTGAAACTGATGTGGGGAGTTTAGAGAAGAATAACAGGGTTCTCTTTCATGAAAACAGCCCCGCCAGCTGAGTTCCTAGCTCCCTTGCGCAATGGTTTGAAGCTCTAGAAAACCACAGTGGGGTTTAAACAGGACCCTTTAAAGTTATTGTTATTGTTGTTGTCGTTATTAGTTTGGAGTTGCGTGTGTGTGTGTGTGTGTGTGTGTGTGTGTGTGTGTGTGTGTAAGAGCACACGTGGGCCAGTGAGATGGCTCAATGCGTGAGGGAGCCTGCCACCAAGCCTGAGGGCTTGAGTTCGATCCCTGGGTCCCTCATGGTTGAAGGAGAGAATCGACTCAAAAGAGTTGTCCTCTGACTTCCACATGTGTGTTGTGGTACACTCGTGCCCACACGCAAAATAAATAAATCAAGTGGAACATAAAAAACAAAACAGAACTTTACAATCGGCTCCTTCCTCTCTGTCATTTTGTGCATTTTTATGTGTGTTTATTTATTTTTTATTTTATTTTATTTTGAAATAAGGTCTTTTTTATTTTTGGTTTCTTGAGACAGGGTTTTCTGTGTAGCTTTGCGCCTTTCCTCAAACTCACTTGGTAGTCCTGGCTGGCCTTGAACTCACAGAGATCCACCTGGCTCTGCCTCCTGAGTGCTGGGATTAAAGGCGTGCGCCACCACCGCCCAGCTGGACTAGAACTTCCTTATAGACCAGGCTGGCTTTGAACTCATAGACTCATAGAGATCTACTGGACTCTTCCTCTCGAGTGCTGGGATGAAAGGCCTGTGATGTCATATCCAGCTTTCTCTCTGTCCCTTTCAAACTGTACTGGCAGGAGTGAAGATAATCTTTTTTTTTTTTTTTTTTTTTTTTTAAGATAGGGTCTCAGTTAGCCCAGGTTGGCCCTCAACTCCTTATGTGATGGAGGTTGGCCTTGAACTCCTGATCCTCCTGCCTCTACCTCTGAAGTGCTGGAATTACAGGTGTGCACGGGCACGAATATCTGTTTTAAGCGGTGCTGGGGATACCTTTGTGTGTGCTAGGCAGGCACTCTATCAACTCTACCACTGCACCCTTGGCCCAGGAATAAAGACATACCTATGCCCCCCCTTTGGCTATCAGACTATAAAACAATGGATCCCAAGAAATTCCTCACGAGTCTCATGCTGGGGAAGGAAAGGCCTGAAGCCTGGTGCCAGCCAGAGAGTAGCCAAAGACAGTGGTGGATGGGCAGTGATGGCTGGGACCACACTTCACCAGGATTGCCCAGCCATGCCCATTCCTTACCCCCTCTATTTAAACCTAGACCGTACGTCAGGATCTTGTCAGGATCCCAGAGATCGACTCAGCGAGTCATTGGGTCTCTTTGTTACTCTTTCCTGTTGAATACATCTCCTTTCTCTTTCTCTGCCTTCGACTATTTTTGATTTACTTTATTCTACTACTTTGAAGTGTGTGTGTGTGTGTGTGTGTGTGTGTGTGTGCGTGCGCGCACGCGCGTGTGTAGAGGCCAGGGGCATTGATCCCTCTGGAGCTGGAGTTTCAGGTGTTTGTGAGCCGTCGAACGTGGGTGCTGGGGGCAGAACTCAGCACTAAGTGTCGTACACACTCCTAACCACTGAGCTATCTTTCCGGCCCCTGCCTCTCATTCTTACCCGGCTTTCTAATGGGCCCGTCCAGGATTGATGATGGAAACTAGCTTGCTAGGGCTGCCAGCCCGAAGGCTTTGACCCTAATAGGTCCAGTAATACCTGCTTAGTGCCCGGCCCCACCCTAAATCCAGGGGTCCTCTAAACCAGTGCTTCTCAACCTTCCGGCCACCGCGACCCTTTAACACAGGCCCTCATGTGGCGGTGACCCCCAACCATAACATTGTTTTCATTGCAGCTTACTTCATAACTGCAAGTTTGCTACTGTTATGAACTGCAATGTAAACACCCGCTATTCGGGATGTCTAATATGTGACCCCAGTGTAAGGGCCGTGCATGTGCACGGGGGTCGGGACCCACAAGTTGAGAGCCACTGCTGTAAATAGTATCAGTAGGTCTCTTTTGATCACACTCCACTGCCGGTTCCCACGGGTCTGTGAGGCGCAGTTCAGCTCCTCTGCTGGACACCTCGACTCCCTGCTCATGCCTGCTGGCAAACTGCCTCTGTCTCCCGGAGCCTCCCCCGACACCTCCCCACACCCCTGCCTCCCCTTCACCGAGATGCCTCTCCAAGTCTCTCCAGGCGTTGGGTGTCTTTTCTTCTGGGAAGTTTTGTGCCAGCCAGCCCCCAGTACTCCAGCTCTCAGCCTGAGATCTCAAAGCAAAGGCTTCCAGTGGACTGAGCCTGAACGCAATTCACCTTTCTTCCTGGGGGTTGGGGGGGTTGGGAGAGAACCTCACTTTTGGAGGTTTTCTGACTACCCGCTCGCAATTCCACATACTGCCGCGAGGGGGCAAGCGGCAACCGCTGAGAAACCAGGCCTTTGATGGCGACCAGGGAGAGGGATTGCAGATCTCTTCGCCTAACCTTCGGGGCGAACAGCTTCATCAGACAACGGCAAGAAACGACCGAGGCTACTGCTGGGGGGCGGGGGGGGGCGGGACAGCACCAACCCTGTCCACTCACCAAGCAGCTATGATCAGGACGAGGAAGACCACTAGCAAGATTGACAAGAGGGCAATGATGATCACAGTACTCTTGCTCCGGGACTCTGGGGCTCCTTGGAACGTTTGGGCTACACAGGCGAGAAAGAAAAAAATTATTTACACGCCCCCCCCCCCAAAAAAAAGGACCATTTAGGCAGCTTCCAGACCAACTATCCTGTGTGCACTGGGGACATGTGAGAATCGAACAGGGACAGACTAGAGGAGGGGTAAAGGCAGAGAATAGGCTAACACCGCTTCCTGATGGGGGAGACCTACCTTCCCCAGCCCCCGATGTCCCCAGGTCCCTTAGCACGCCCTCTACCTTTTGAGATGCTCTTATGTCCCATACCTTGCTGCAGATGGATGTCCTTGGACCACTTCGTCTCAGCCGCAGGTCCCGTGGCATTCATGGCCAGGAACTTCACTCTGAATAGGAGACCAGCATTGGTGGTGGAGACTCCCCACACTCCTGAAACCCTCAGCTCCTGATGCCTGGGATCCTGTCCTCTGGGGAGAGCAGCCTGAGCGGGACTAAGGAGCACAGCCCCAGAGCCCAAGAGAAGCTGCAGCCTATTGGAGCTGTGTGATACGGGTGATGGCCCTCGCTGTGTGTGCGCATTGAGATCTCTCGATACCAAACACGAGCAAATCAAACATGTGTGTGGGGAGAAAGAGGACCAAACCTAGTCTCCACCTGTGGATGCCTGGTCTGGATGAGGGACGATCCATGTGCCTGGTCAGGTCCTCCCATGGCGGGTGAGGGCTGAGTTAGGATTGCTACTTTAAAAAGATGTGAGAAGGCGTGCCGGGCGGTGGTGGTGCACGCCTTTGATCCCAGCACTCAGGAGGCAGAGCCAGGCGGATCTCTGTGAGTTCGAGACCAGCCTGGGCTGCAGAGTGAGTTCCAGGAAAAGCTCCAAAGCTACACAGAGAAACCCTGTCTCAGAAAACGGGGGGAAAAAAAGATGTGAGAAGGTCTTAAGAGCATATTTCACCATGTCAGGTAGCTCAGCTGCCTGTAACTCTAGTTCTAGGGGATCAGACTTAGGTAGCTTCTGAGGGAACCCACATCCATGTGAACAAACACACACACATAGTTTAAAATCTTTTTTTAAAAAATCTTTTTTTCTTCCTTTCTCCTCCTCCTCCTCCTCCTCCTTCTTCTTCTCCTTCTTCTTAAAGAAGGAAAAAAGGCCCAGTGCTTAAGAGCACGTCTTGTTGTTGCAAAGGACCCAAGTTTGATTCCCAGCATCCACAGGAAGGCTCATCACCTCCTTGGGCACCATGGACATATATAGTACAGACGTACATGTAGGCAAAACAGTCATACACATAAAACGTACATGTAGGCAAAACAGTCATACACATAAAACAATACAAATAAATTTAAAAAAGAAAGAAGGATGTAAGGACCTGCCTATGATCCCCCAGTGAGAGGGTGGGGGTGTGCTTCCTCCGTGTCCCAGTTTCCACCCCAAGCACCACTAACATACATAAATAAGAAAAGAAGGAAGGAAAAATACTGGGGAACCCAGACACCCCCATTTAACCCCAATGAACCATCCAGCTGCCCTGGGTGTTTGTCCCAGGCAGGGCCCCTCCCCTGTCTTTGCTGCTCACCTGTAGGGGCCGGCACCTGGAAGAGGAGGATTACAGCCCCAGGACGTGGAAGAGCACTGGGTATCATTGCCAACACGGAGGACTCGAAGCTGGCTGCCAGACTGGCTGCCCTGGTAGTGTACCCGGCTGGCCCTCATTGTGACGTAGTAGCCATTGAGGTCAAAGCTGGCAGGGGCATGTGTGTCCTCTATCTTCTGCGGGGCAGTAAAGTTCTGGGTGGCTGAGGGTGGCACCGAGGGTCAGCCAGTGGGGATCACATGGTTCCATGCTGGCAGGCTTGACAGCCTTTCCCAGCCACGGCCCCCAAAGCACCTCCTGCCCACCTCCCCCTGCCCGCTGCACCTCTCAGCCCCCAGGTCTGTTTGCCCATGTCACAGTGAGAAAGCCAGCACGTACCGTTGCTGTGAGCCACCACCAGCCAGATGGGGTCTGGGTCAGAAAGGCTGACATTCTCAAACTGGCCCAGGGGCTGCTCCAGGGTGAAGGTAGACTGTGTGAGCCTTCCCAGCAGGGTGGTGTTAGCGAGCTGGGGGATGTAGTTAATGCTCTCTGGAGAGAGTGGGAAAAGAGGCCAGAGGAGGCTGAGTACATCAGTCCAGCGTTAACCACAGCAGGACGGACCTGCTCCGGAGCCCCAGTCCAACCATTTTTTTTCCACCACGGTTTTATTAATTGATTAATTCATTGATGTATTTATTTATTTATTCTCTCTGTCTTTTTATCTCTGTCTGTCTCTCTGTCTCACTCTGTGTGTGTGTGTGTGCATGTGTGCTTACATACCCATGTGTGCCACAGGTCAAGGACAATTTTGGGGACCTCGTGGGTCCCGGGGAGCAAACTCAGATCATCAGGCTTAGGCAAGGGTCTTTACCAGCTGAGCCATTTTGCCAATCCAAATTTAAGGAATCTTTATGGCAGGTGTCCTTGGGGGGCTGTAGAGCACCTGGGTCCCCCCTCTCTTGACAGCCTATTGGGGAGGGGTACTGTATCCCTGGGGTGATGGCCAAGGAATGGCAGGTGGACAGAGGGAGGTTCAGGAGACTCAGATTCCCTGGGTGTCCCTCCGGCTCAGGTCAGTGGTCCAGGCTCCTTTGTTGATGAGAAAAAACAAGAGCTGGAGAGATGATTCGGGATGCAGTAAAGCGCTTACCTCCCAAGCAGGAGGACATGTGTTTAGATTCCCAGAACCCATGTCACAAGTCAGCCGGGCACCTGCAATCCCAGAGACAGTGAGATGGGAGGCCGGGACAAGAGGGTCCCTCGGACCGGTGGGAAGACTGGCCTGGCCCACATGGCGAAGTTCCTGGCCAATGGGAGACCCTCTCTCAAAGAGAGTGGGGGAAAGACCCTGAATACCAGCATCCACGGTCATCTGCTGACCTGTACACACCCCACAGAGCCACACACCTGTACCCTCATGTGCATATGTGTGCGCGCGCGCACACACGCACGCGCACACACACACACACAGAAAGAGAGACAGACAGACAGACAGACAGACAGACAGAGACAGAAGGAGACAGAGAGAGGTGATCTGCATGGAAGGGGCAGAGGGGGGGGGCACACAAATGTCCCCTGGACTGAGACCCTAGCTTGGGACACAGATCGTCTAGTGGGGTCAGAGGCTAGCTCATTCACAGACATCGTGCTCCCTTCTCAGAGTTCTGCCCCCTCCCATCATCTTCCATCCTCATCGTGGTCACATGACCAACACCATCGTGGTCGCACGACCAGTGTCTGTCCTTTAAATCCTCATCCCTTTTGTCCCCTTCTCAGATCCATCCATACAGCTTCATATGCTACAGGGGACCCCAGGGGAGCACCAACGGCTTTCTCCTGGGAGAAGCTCGGCCCTCCCCTCAACCCTCCCCGAGTCCTCCCTCACCCAGGACCAAAGCCAAGGTGTGCCTCCAACTCCAAGCCCCTAACACTGGGACAATAAGAAGGATGAAGTGGACTTTTGTGCAAGTCTCGTGTCAATTCAGGGCTGCGGAGATGGCTCAAGGGGAAAGTGGTTGCCTTGCAAACCTGAGGACATGAGTTCTAATCCCCAGCATGCACATAAAAAGCCAAGTGTGGTGGCGAACGTCTGGAAGCCCAGCTATGGTGGAGACAGGCAGGTCCCTGGAGACTGACACCTGAGGTGGTCGTCTGAGCTCCACATGCATTGCCATCTCCACAATGTCTATTTGTCTGTCTGTCTTTTTGTCTGTTTGAGACAGGGTTTCTCTGTGTAGCCCTGGTTGTCCTGGAACTCACAGAGATTCATTCGGCCTGATAAGCTGAGTTCTGTGCCCAGGATCTCCTGACAGTTGGCCTCTGACCTCTATACTTGCCTCACAACATGCATTCACCAATCCCCATACACACACAGACACAGACACACACACACACACACACACACACACACACACACACACACACACACACTAAACAAACAAAAACAAAGCCCCTGTCCTACCTGAGAGGACTAGAGTATCCTGTATACAACAGGTAGTTAACATTTGCTTAATTTGAGGGAAGAGGAATGGGGGTATGGAGAGGAGGGGGTTACTCAGGAGCCATTAGTAAAAATGTGGGCGTGAGAATCCCAAAGAGAGAAGCAGCGTTCTTACTCTTCAGTGTGTGTGTGGGTGTGAGGGACAGACGTCCGTCTGTGACTGTGTGAGGTGGGCCGAATGCCTTGACATACCCAGAAACCCAGTCCACAACCAAGGGAAGGGGCTCTGGAGTGCCCCCCCCAGAGCTTCAAAGGAAGTCTTCCCTCCCCCAGAGGGCTGAGGAAGTGGGGCTACCCTGCACTCCTCAGCTTCACTCACCCAGAGCTGCCCCAGGCTGGACCCGAGTCACCAGCAGCAACAGTGGCATCAGCAGCAGAGACTGTCTCTCACGGAGCGCCATGGCCGGGATGCCAGTCCTTCCTCCCAGGTCTGCCTGCAGTGGGTCCCAGGTGCTCTCTCTGGGCTGGGCTGCTGCCGCTTTGGGGGGTGCCCCCTCCTCCCATGTAACTGGTTGGACAGGTTCACGGGCTGATTCTATAAGCTCTGGAGGATTCAGTATCACTAGGGATGGGTCTGAAGAGAACAGAACAATGAGAGACTAACCAGGACACGTGCGCCCCACTCCAAGAGGACCTGGCTGGGAGGGGCCAGGTATGGGGCAGGCAGCTCTCCCCAGTGAGGGAGAGAGTCCCTTTATCTTCTAGACAAGGGACACAGAAGGTAGGTGTCCCTTCAAGATCACCTAAGCTCACTGGCAAAACTTTGAGGTGGTCCTAGCAAATGCTGGCCTGGGACTGATTCTCTCTCTCTCTCTCTCTCTCTCTCTCTCTCTCTCTCTCTCTCTCTCTCTCTCCCTCTCTCTCTCTCCCTCTCTCTCCCCTCTACTTTAAGATAGTCTCTAAGCTGGCCTCAAACTCAGTATATAGCCAAAGATGGCCTTGAACTCCTGACCTTCCTTCCTGAGTGCTGGGATTACAGGAGAGCGTCACCACAGTTAGCAAGCCACAGTGTATATCCACATAGATAATATTCTATATCTCTGTGTATGTGTGAGAAATGTATGAGAAAGGTGACAGATAGACAGACAGACAGACAGACAGATAGACAGATAGACTGATGATGGCTTAGCGAATAGATGTTATATAGATGATAGGTAGAGAATAGGTAGATAGATGGATAGATAGATGCATACATACATACATAGGTTGAGACGTAGCTCAGTGATAGAATTCTTTCCTGGCATGTAAATGGCTCTGGGTTCTTCCCCAGAATCACAAATATATGGGAGGCGGGTGTATACATACATACATACATACATACATACATACATACATACATACATACATACATATTCTCTCTCTCTCTCTCTCTCTCTCTCTCTCTCTCTCTCTCTCTCTCTCTCTTTCTCAAAAGGAAGTTGAAAGCAGTCATCAGAACAAGGAGCCAGATGCAGTTAGTGTCTCACACCTGTAATCCCAGCACTCGGGAGGTGGACACAGGGGGACGAGGAGTTCAGGGTCATCCTCAGCTACACAGCTACAGTACACCCCGTCTAAAACCAAATCAACCGAACAGGGCGGAAAGGGTGCTGCTTGCAAAAGCATGGTCTTGCTCATCCTCTCTCAAGTCCCCAGAACCGGGCAGGGTCAGCCTCCCGATGAATCGTATCATACAGATGAGAGGATGTTTCCGTCAGGGAGGGTAACACCTGCACCCTCAGGCGGGTCAGCCAGGTCAGCCGTGACTCTAGGAAGCAGCCCAGCTCTCCCAACACCCAGGCAGGCTGCTGCTCGCTCCCCTTCCATGTCTAATTCAAGGCAAACAATTCATTAACTTCTCATGTTCCCATCTCCATTCCATCCCTGCCCACTGCCCCAGGCTTCCGCTCTAGCCAGTACAGCAGAGACCCTTGTCTTAGCTACCTACGGTGGATAACAAATGACCCAGAACTAAGTACTGAAAGGAATAAACACTTTTTTTTCTTTTCTGTTTTTTTCAATCTACAGTCTTTTTTCTCCTTTCTTTTTCTTTTTTAAAAAGAGTTTTATTTATTCAGCCAGGTGGCACATGCCTTTAATCCCAGCACTCGGGAGGCAGAGGCAGGCGGATCTCTGTGAGTTCGAGGCCAGCCTGGGCTACAGAGTGAGTTCCAGGACAGGCTCCAAAGCTACACAGAGAAACCCTCTCTTGAAAAAACAAACAAAAAACAAGCAAACAAACAAAAAGATTTATTTACTCGTGTATTTTATGTATGTTGGCTGAGTCTTCATGCACACCAGAAGAAGGAATATGATCCCATTACAGGTGGTTGTGAGCCACCACGTGGATGCTGGGAACTGAATTCCGAAACCTCTGGAAGAGCAGCCAGTGCTCTTAACCGCGGAGCCATCTCTCCAGCGCCCCTTTCTTTTTGTTATTTGCCATTGCATTAATTATTTATCTTTGTGTATGTGCATGTATGACATGTGTGCGTGCCATGGCTCCTGTGTGGAGGTCAGAGGACAACTTTCCCCTTCCTCCTTGTTGAGTCAGGGTCTTTCTGGTTTCTGTTGCCATATTGTGTCATACTCCAGGGTAGCTGGCCCAGGAGGTCTGGGTGATTCTCCTGTTTCCACTTCCCATTTCAGCATAGAAGTGCTGGCATTACAGATGTGCACTCCTGTATCTGGCCTTTTTAAAAAATGTTTACGTGTGTGTGTGTGTGTGTGTGTGTGTGTGTGTGTGTGTGTGTATGTGTGTGTGTGCACATGTGTGTGTGCACACGCACCTGCTAATGTAGAGATCAGAGGACAACACTGTGGAGTCCGTTCCCTCCTCCCACCAGGCATCGTGGGAACTGCCCAGTTCGTGGCAGTGGGAGTATGTAGTAAGGTCGTTCACATCATGATGAACCAGGAAGCGGAGAGAGCTCAGGATAACCTTTGCAGACCCACCTCTGGAGATCTGTTTCTGCAACTAGACCCCGCCACCTCCACTACGTTCCCAAGCAGGGCCACCAGCTGGGGGCCAAGTACTCAAGGCATGAGCCTCTGGGGGACATTTCAGACTTAAGCCGGAATGTGGTAGCTGCCTCTTGCTCCATTAAACCGAGGGCAGGGGTCATCCTGTTTAGCTCCACCTGGTTCCTGCTGGGTCTATGATCTGGCAACTAGACTTGTCCGAAAACTGGTAATATGGAAACGTCTCTGCTCAGTGTGTCTGGCTGTGCCCAGGCCTGCTGTTTTTTGCTTCCCAGCATCAGGTGGATGGCCAGAACAGCATGGCTTCTTCCCTTCTGGGTCCTAGAAGGGCCCAGCACTAGTGAAAACTAGCATGAAGGGAGTGGTCCTGGGACCCAAAAGGGGCCAGCTGGTGGCCATGCCAAGCCCCGGGGAATACTCCACCCCTTTTGACTTTTCTTGCTGTGTACCTTTGGGAGTGACTCACAAGGCAGGGGGCCCCTCACTTGCTGCTTCCTCATGCAAGTCAGGTAGAATTCCAAAGACTCACCCAACTCTGGGTCACCAAACAAAGACTCAGCTCCTTAGCAACCGTCACACCCACGGTCTGAGGAGGTAGACAGGGCAACTGTGCCTCCAGGGGTTGATCACGCTTGCCTCACGCCCTCTGAAGAGAGAGGGATCGGGGGCTTTTTTGGACCCAGAGAAAAAGCACAGAGTACTCCGTGCCCCCCACTCCAAACCCTTATCAAGTGGGAAATGCTCCAGAGTCCCTCAACCTCACCCCAGTCCTGAGTCTTTCTACGACAAGGTGGGCTTCAACCTCTACCAATTGTGCTGTGTGTCTCTTATGACAGGCAGCTTGTCACCCCCAAAGTCCCCTGAGAGCTTCCTGTACCCACCACCATAAACTAGGAAGTTCTTTCTCCATCAGGCTCAGCAGTGAAGCACCTGCCTAGAATCCCCCAGTGAGGGGCTGGGGTGTGTCTCAGTGGTAGAGCCCCTGCCTAGAATCCCCAGTGAGGGGCTGGGGTGTAGCTCAGTGGTAGGGCCCCTGTCTAGAATTCCCCAGTGAGGGGCTGGGGTGTGTCTCAGTGGTAGAGCACCTGCCTAGAATCCCCAGTGAGGGGCTGGGGTGTAGCTCAGTGGTAGGGCCCCTGTCTAGAATTCCCCAGTGAGGGGCTGGGGTGTGGCTCAGTGGTAGAGTGCTTATCTAGCATGTACAGGGCTCTGGGTTCCATCTCCAGTGTGGTAAATATAATCAAAAGCTACAAAAACAAACAAACAAACAAACCATCAAAACCACCACCACCAACAAGAACAGGCATGATGGCACAAGTCTGAAATCTCTCTCCCAGGTTGAGGCCATCTTGCATTCCCAGGAAATTCCAGGCTAGCCTGAGAAGCTTGCCTCCAAAATATGAAGAGGGGTTGGAGAGATGGCTCAACAGTTAAGAGTCCCGTTGCTCTTCCAGGGGACCCAGGTGCAGTTCCCAGCACCCATGTGATGTTTCCCAGATGTCTGTAGCTCCAGTGGACACAGTGCTCTCTCCTGACTCCACAGGTACCAGGCTGCAAGTGATACACAGCCAGCAAAACACTTGTACAAATAAAGAAACAGATTTAAAAAAAATTTTAAGTTCTTTCCTTAAAATATACCAAATAAATAAATAAATAAATAAAGTTCTTTCTTTTAGTAGAGCAAGTTTTTAATGGCATCATATAACATAGTGTCTTTAAATTAATTTTTGTTTTAGCCAGGTGGTGGTGGCGCACACTTTTAATCCCAGCACTTGAGAGGCAGAGGCAGGTGGATCTCCAAGTTCGAGGCCAGCCTGGTCTACAGAGTGAGTTCTAGGATATCCCTGGCTACACAGAGAAACCCAGTCTCGAAAAACAAAAAACTAAAATGGGGCCAAGTTTGTCAGCTCATACCTATAATCTCAGGAGGAATTGACTCTAGTTCCAGACCGGCTTGGGCTACTGAGCTACAGAAGGCTGGAAGCAGGGCCAGGATAGACCCTGCAAAGCCTGTGTCCAGGGACCTGCTTCCTTTAGGGAGGTCCCACCTCCTCCAAATCCCACAACTCAAAACACTGTCACCAGCCGGGGTCTGAGTGGGGACATTTCATTTTTTTTTTTTTTTTTTTTTGATTTTTCGAGACAGGGTTTCTCTGTGTAGCTTTGCACCTTTCCTGGAACTCACTTTGTAGACCACGCTGGCCTCGAACTCACAGAGATCCACCTGGCTCTGCCTCCCAAGTGCTGGGATTAAAGGCGTGCGCCACCACCGCCCGGCGGAAATTTCATTTTTAAACCATAACAGACTCTGATTCGAACTTTCTCTGAAGATGTGAGGCCCTCTGTACTGAATCTGAGTGGCTCGAGACTGAGGTGCTGTCAGAGGACAGAGGGAGGAGCCTATGTCCGACCAGTCACCCCAGCAGCACCCTGGGAGCAGCCCGGTGGGGTATGCGTGGGAGTGCTACAACCACCACCTGAGCTCCTGTCCTCCTGCATCTCCTCAGACGCTTGGTTTATTTTGTCCTTTTTGCAGAGCTGAGGATTGAACCCAGGGCCTCACACAAAACAGGCAGGTGCTCTACCACTGAGCCACACCCCAGCTCCTCACTGGGGGATTCTAGGCAGGAGCTCTACCACTGAGCCACACCCCAGCCCCTCACTGGGGGATTCTAGGCAGGTG